CGAGGCTGATCCTGCACGAGCTGCAGAGCGGGCAAGGTGAGGCGCACCGAGCACACCGACCCGGGAGTGGAGGGGGCCGAGGCAGAGGGGCAAAGCACACGACCCAGGCGGCGGTGGGCGTCGGCGCCCGTGGCAGGGGCGACGGCACTGGACGGTGCACCGAGGCCCCGCGAGGAGCACGCTGGGCGTGGCGCGAGGGCGCCGCAGAGCCTTTGGAACTGGCAGAGCTGGGCGGGGCGGAAAGAGAGCCGCCAGCCCCAGCACCTGCGCCGGCTGGACGAGGCGCAGGCGTGGGGTTGTTACACAAGGAGGGGGGGAGGGAGCGAGGGAGGGAGGGAGGGAGAGAGGGGGGGATGGGTGGGTGGGAGGGAGGGAGGGGGGGGGGGGGCCCGGGCCAACCCAGTGGGAAGGAAAAGGCCGAGGGGCCCACCAGCAGGTATAGGGCCTAGGGCCAGCCCTTCTTGGCGGGGCCAGGCGTGCGAAGAGCGCCGGCGCCCATGCTGGCAGGGGAGCGCGCGTGCAGCGCACGGGGAGGCCCAGCACAAGCACGGGCGGGGGGGGAGGCCAGGGCGCGCATGGGCGCCGCGAGGCGAGACGGGCCGCAGAGACCCGGCGCCGAGTTGCCCCGCACAGGCGCCCTGATCCCGAGGGGAACCAGGTGCGGTGGCCTCGCGTCGCGTCGGCCGGCGACGGCCCCGCCGCCGGCGGGCCCCCCGGGAGCCGGGGCGACGAGCGCGCGCCCGGGGGAGGAGCCGCGCGCTGCACCAACGGCTCTGTCCCTCTTGCGGGCGCCGACGTGCGCTGCACCCCGCCGGCTCCGCGGCAGAGTGCCGGCGCGAGCGGAGGCCCCCGCCCAGTGGCGACGGGGGAGGGGCACCCAGGGGTCCACCGGTCGGTGCTTCCCCCCCCTGAGCCGGTCCCCTTCTGGTATATCCCCTCCGCAGTCGAAGAGGGACAAGAAAGGCCAGGAGCAGAAGCTGTCAGAGGTCCGCGCGGGGTCCTGAGATCTGCGCTGGGCCCCCTTGAGTCGGCGCCGCCCCCTGGCGCCGATCCAAGAAATCCGCGCGGGCCTCCGAAAGTCTAGATACCCAGGGATCCAACGCATTGAAAAAATCAAGGCGGGGGTGTTTCGCAGTTTTCGGCCTCTATAGGGGCCTTCGCCGGGCTCAGGGACCGTCAAAAAACGACTCGGGATGAAAAACCGGTCCTGGGGAGTGGGTCGAGGCTTCCGGGGAGCGCGCATGGAAGAAATCACGACACGGGATCTCTGGGTGGCAGTCTCGATATGTTTCCCTCCCCTGAGACTGCCGCTGGCGCCCTCTGAGATTGCCGCTGGCGCCGCTGGTGGGCTGGAGGGAGGTGGTGTTGAAGCCCGTGCGCTCGTGGAGCTGCTGCCCGAGCGACTCCTCGGAGGGCACCAACTGTACACCAACACCGATGCTGGCCAGGATCGGTGTTGGTGTATAGTTGGTGCCTTCCTAAGTCCAGCATGCTCGCGGAGCGGAGCGTCGGTTCCGACGCTTGTGCGTCGCGGCGCGGCAGCGGCAGTCCGCACGCGCGCCCATGCCACCCGGGCTACGGGGTTGCGAGCTGTCCCGCGTGCGGGAGGTTCTGGAGGTAGGACGTCGTGATTTCTTCCATGCGCGCTCCCCGGAAGCCTCGACCCACTCCCCAGGACCGGCTTTTCCTCCCGAGCCGTCTTTTTGCCCGTCCCTGAGCCGGGCGGAGGGCCCCTAGAGACCGAAGTCTGTGAAAAACCTCCGTCTTGATTTTTGGCAATACGTTGGATCTCGGGGGAGGGGGAAGACGAGAGGCGGCCGCGAAAATTGCGAAAAATCTCCGTCTTGATTTGTTCAATACGTTGGATCTCGGGGTAGGGGGGAAGCCGAGAGGCGGCCGCGAAAATAGCGAAAAACTTCCGTCTTGATTCTTGCTCAGCACGTTGGATCTCGGGAGGGCACGACGCGAGGCGGCCGCGGGGAGAGGGGGCGGGAGAAGAGAGCGCACTCGCGCGGCGAGGCCGCGAGGGGGCGCGCGGGGTGGCTGGGCCGCAGGGCGGGCCCCCCGGCAGCGAGCGCGGGGCGGCGTTCCCCCCCCCCCCCCAGACATTGCTCGCGACGCTGTAGGAAAACTCAGGGCGGGAGGTTCCTCCCTGAGATCCTGGCGCCGCCCCATCCCCAGAAACTGCTCGCGGCGGGAGGTTCCTCCCTGAGATCCTGGCGCCCCCCCCATCCCCAGAAACTGCTCGCGACGCCATCAAAGCTCCGGGCGGGAGGTTCCTCCTTGCGATCCTGGCGCTGCCCTCTCGTCACAGCGGGCGTCCGCGCTCCGTGCCGGGCCGCGGGAGCCTCACGGATCGACCCGGCTGGAAACATGGCGCGGACAGGTGGGGCCCGGGGCTCGGGCCGCGATTCTGCGCGGTGCTGCAATTTTTCGACTAGACGTAGGAGTGCCCTTTCGCCAGAGTGACCTTTGGTGCGGGCACAGTGTGGGTCCCCAGATGGTTGAAAACGAGGCAGTAGCAGCTGCTTGCGAACCCAGGTTTGGGCTCCCCGCGGCCCCCCAGGAGTCGCGCACCAAAGGTCACTCCTGCCCAGGGTCACTCCTGCGAGTAGCCGAATTTGTCCCAACCCTCCTAGGGTTGGACACTCGTTTTGAATAGAGCAGTGTGGTCGCCCCGTTCTTCTTCTCCTCCCCCCTCCTCCCCTCCTCCTCTCTCCTGTCTCCTGTGTTCCCCCCTCCTCTTCTCTCGTGCCGTCGGGCTGCGATCTGCAACATGTATAGAAAAGGGTGGCTAGGTCGCAGGGTAATTTCCGAAACGTTGGACCTCAGGGCTTCTGGCCATGGGGGCCCTCCGGGGGCCCTCGCGGGGCCTCCGGGGGCCTCGGGGCCGTCAGAAGATGACTCGGGATGACAAGCCGGTGCTGGGGCAAGGGGGTCGGGGTCTTCCAGGGGCCGCGCCTGTCGGGGCGCCGCACGTGCGGGCTTGCGGCGGGGCCCCTCACACGAGCGGGCAGGCGTTGAGCGATGGAGCGGGGCCAAGAAGCAGTCGGCGCCAGCCCTGGCACCCGCGCCGGGCAGACGGGCCGCAGACGTGGGCCGCACCAAGGGGAGATGCCCCGGCCACCCGAGGAGAAGTGCACACATTTCGAGGTAGGGGCTCGACTCCGGAAGTGCTTTACCCCAGATTTGCCTTCCTCGTCGAATCGACAGAAGAAAGACGTAGCACGTGTCACGGGTTCTACGGAAAAGACAGGTCTGGGGTCAATGCATATTCTGTAGTCGATCCCCCACTCGAGCATTTTTTCGCTTGCAGGCCGGCTGGCCCAACGTCCAGCTCCGCGAAGAGGAGGACGAGGAAGAAAAGGCGCGGCGCTGGCGGTCGCGTGGCGCAGTCGAAGCCCCGGCTCAGAGGCGACGGCAGGGGCGAGCAGCCCAGCAAGCGGGCAGTACAAAGAGCTCTTCATCGGAGAACCTCGCCGAGGGAATGAGCCATCGGCGCCCCTGGGCACAGTAGAAGCTCGTCCACAAGAAGCCTTCCACGAAGGGAGGAGGGAGGAGGAGGAGGAGGAGGAGGAGGAGGAGGAGGAGGAGGAGGAGGAGGAGGAGGAGGAGGAGGAGGGAGGGGAGGAGGAGGGAGGAGGAGGAGAGGAGGAGGAGGAGGAGGAGGAGGAGGAGGAGGAGGAGGAGGAGGAGGAGGAGGAGGAGGAGGAGGGGAGGAGGAGGGAGGAGGGAGGAGGGAGGGAGGAGAGGAGGGAGGAGGGAGGAGGGAGGAGGGAGGAGGGAGGAGGGGAGGAGGGAGGAGGGAGGAGGGAGGAGGGAGGGAGGAGGGAGGAGGGAGAGGGAGGAGGGAGGAGGGAGGAGGAGGAGGGAGGAGGAGGAGGAGGAGGAGGAGGAGGAGGAGGAGGAGGAGAGGAGGAGGAGGAGGAGGAGGAGGAGGAGGAGGAGGAGGAGGAGGAAGGAAAGCCTTCACGAGAAGCCCAACCCTGAAGCCCCAGGATGTCCACTGATTTGTGGCCTGGGGACGCCACGTTCTCCATCGTAGGGCCATCGAGACCCAAGAGACCCGGGGCACCCTGGAGGCAAGCAGAGCGTTTCTTGGCACGGGCTTCTTCTGCGCATGTTTTGCTCGTTCCTGGGCTAGTCGCCCCCGTCCTCGGCCCCGATAGGCGGGGAGGCTGCAAGGCGAAACTGGCGCGCCAGGCAAGCGGGGGGAGGAGGAGATGAGAGGGCGGTCGCGGGAGGAGAAGGAGGAGGAGGAGGAGGAGAAAGGAAGGAGGGAAGGCGGGAAGGCGGGAAGGAGGGAGGAGGGAGGAGGGAGGAGGAGGAGGGAGGAGGGGAGGAGGGAGGAGGAGGAGGAGGAAGAGGAGGAGGAGGAGGAGGAGGAGAGGAGGAGGAGGAGGAGGAGGAGGAGGAGGAGGGAGGAGGGAAGAGGGAGGGAGGGAGGGAGGCACAGCGGGCGGAAGAGTGCACAGGGAGGAAGATGGATAGCGGGAGGAGAGCAGGAGGAGGAGGAGGAGGAGGAGGAGGAGGAGGATAGGAGGAGGAATAGGAGGAGGATAGGAGGAGGCGGAAGAGGGGGAGGAGGAGGAGGAGGAGGAGGAGGAGGCGGAGGAGGCGGAGGAGGAGGAGGAGGAAGGAGGAGAAGGAGGAAGGAGGAAGGAGGAAGGAAGGAGGAAGGAAGGAAGGAGGAAGGAGGAAGGAAGGAAGGAGGAGGAGGAAGGAGGAAGGAGGAGGAGGAAGGAGGAAGGAGGAAGGAGGAAGGAGGAAGGGAGGAAGGGAGGAGGGAGGAGGGAGGAGGGAGGAGGGGAGGAAGAACGAAGGAGGAAGGAAGGAGAGGGGGGAGGGAGGAGGGAGGAGGGAGGAGGGGGGAGGAGGAGGGAGGAGGGAGGAGGAGGAGGACGAGGAGGAAGGGAGGAGTAATGAGAGGGGAGGAGGAAGGGGAGGGGAGGGAGGGTGATCGTGGGGGCGCCCACGCGTACGCGCGGACACGCTGGCTTCAGCGATTCGCAGGCTGCCCAGGCTCTCGCCCGACCTCCGCCCGGAGTCCCCCCGCCCGCCAGCCATGCCCGCCGCACGCGCCCGCCTGCTTGCCCTCGCCGTCGGCGCGGCCGCCGGCGAGGGCCCCGCGAGCCTGCGGGGCGCCGCGGGCAGCAGCGCCGGGGACGGCGGCGCGGCCCGCCGGCTCGGGGCGCCCAACGGCATTCCTGGGGCAACCATGTAGTCGAGGAACGTTCCAAAATAGTCCAACAGCAGTCACGGGGCGATGTTCGGGCAGTTTGTTGTTCTTGGTTTTGGGCATGTTGGGTTCTGGTTTCCTTCTTCGTCCAGGGTCCGCTTGGAGGAGGACGTGCCCGACCCGAGGCAACCACCGGGGGCAGCACCCGCCCCCCCAGCCGGGGATGCGAGGTGCGAGGTGCAAGGCTCTCGGGCGTCGTCGTCGATTCCCGGCGGCCCTCTGGCCTCGGTGGGGGGCCTCGTCGGACAGCTTGTTGTTTTTGGTTTGGGGCATGCCCGACCTCCCCTCCCCACCCAGGTGCGTCGTCGTCGTCGTCGTCGTCGTCGCCGTCGTCGTCGTCGTCGTCGTCGTCGTCGTCGTCGTCGGTTCTCGGCGGCCCTCTGGCCTCGGTGGGGGGCCTGCCAGCAGCCGTGCCTCGCCGAGGGGCGCCCGGGGGGCAGCCGTGCCTCGCTGCCCGCACGGCCGTCGGAGGGCCGAGCTGTGGCCCGAGACCGGGGGGGGGGGCGGCAACGTCGGCGGCGTGCCACCACCGAGGGAAGGAAACCCCGATCTCGGCGACGGTGGTGACATCTCATGGCACGTCGGCGACGGGGGGGCGGCAACGTCGGCGGCGTGCCTCCACCGAGGGAAGGAAACCCCGATCTCGGCGACGGTGGTGACATCTCATGGCTTCCAAGGTGGCCGAGGCACTGTGACCGGGGGGGGGGCAACGTCGGGGGTCAGAGCGCATCGTCGCAGGTCAGAACACCAACGTCGGCGGCGTGCCTCCACCGAGGGTAGAAGGTCCCGATCTCGGCGACGGTGGTGACATCTCGTGGCTTCCGAGGTGGCCGAAGGCACTGCCACCCACAGCGAAGTCCAGGGTCGTCTGCCCCCTGCGGAGGCAGCCCCCCGTGCTGGTGTTGGTGCCCATGTCCAGGCCTCGAACATCGACCCCCCATCGCCCACTGATCGTCGACGGGGGCCTGACGGCCCCGGCCCGCCCAGGGAGAGCGCGGATTCCCCGTCGGGGGCCTGTCGCCGACAGATCGGCGAGGGCGCGCCAATGCCAGGTCGATGCTTCCCCCCCCCCCCCCCGAGCTGGTGGTTCCCCCTCAATCATCGCTGCGCCCCCATCGGCAGTCGAAGATGAGGAAAAACTCGAAGAACAGCAAAAACACACAACCATGAACTGTCGGCGCTCCGCGCGGATTTCTCGGATCCGCGCTGGGGCCCCCTGGCGGCACCTCCGCCGCCCCTGGCGCGCTCTGCGCGCCAGGGAGGGGGTGCCAGCGCAAATCCAAGAAATCCGCGCGGACGCTCGAAAGTTTATGTTTATGTGTTCTTGTTCTTCCTCTGGAAAACGCCAGAAGCAGAAGCTGTCAGAGATCCGCGCGGGTTTCTGAGATCTGCGCTGGGCCCCCTTGGCGGCGCCGCCCCCTGGCGCGCTCCGCGCGACGGGGAGGGAGCTCCAGCGCCGATCCAAGAAGTCCGCGCGGGCCTCCGAAAGTCTAGGTACCCAGGGATCCGACGCATTGAAAAAATCAGGGCGGGGGTGTTTCGCAGCTTTCGGCCTATAGAGGCCCTTGCCGGGCCCCAGGACAGGCAACAAACCGACTCAGGATGAAGAACGACCGGCCCTGGGGAACGAGTCGAGACTTCCGGGGGCCGCGCAGTCAAAACATCTCGACATCGGATCTCTGGGTATGCCTATGCAGGTGCTCCTTCCCCTAGGCAAGTGGGGCCCCTACATGGACGGGTGGAGCAGCCTCCCAGTGTACGCCGCGGAGGTCTGCGTCCGCAGCGTGGGGGGCTACGCCATGAAGTACAACCTCTGGGACACGCACAGCAACCGGATCTCGGGGTGGAGCAGCACGATCGGTGCCCAGCAGACGGCGTGCATGGCGGTCGACGCGATCAGGGACGTCGTGGAGGACCACCCGGTCTCGCCGAGGATCTTCGTGAACGGCTTCGCGGACAGCTTCGTGCAGGTTGCCATCCAGAGCGTCCGGTACCGCCCTGGCGCGGGACGCGCGCACTACACCTGCCTGGGGTCCACCACGTCCTGGTACTGCAACCTGGACACCGTCGGCAGCCTGGGCACGCCGGGTTCCAACTCCACCAGCGCCGCTCCCGGCTCCGGCGCCCTCGGGGCGGTTGGCGCGGAGCCGGAGCCGAACGGCAAGTGGGGGCCCCTCATGAGCCGTTGGAGTCTGCTGCCGGTGTACGCCTCCAGGATCTGCGTGCGCGACGTGGGCGGCTACGCGATGCGGTTCAACCTCTGGGACACGTACGCGAACTTCATCTCCGACTGGAGCAGCACCATCAGCGCCCAGAGAACGGCGTGCCTGGACATCTCCAGCATCCACGACGTGGCGGAGGGCCACCCGATCTCCCCGCGCATCTTCGCCTTGGGCTGGGCGGACAGTTTCACGCAGGTTGCCATCCAGAGCGTTATCTACGAGGCCTCCGCTGGGCAGGCAGACTACACGTGCTTGGGGTCTACCACGTCCTGGTACTGCAACCTGGACACCGTGGGTAGCTTGCCCACCACTTCCACGTCCGAATCACCCAGCACTTCTACCGCGTCGGCCTGCGATACCTGGTTCTGCTGGGTGGCAGGAGGCCTGCGGTGATCACCGCTTGGACGAGGTCAAGGTGGCGCTCGTGGGTTAAATTCTGCGCTTTTTTTGGAATAACTGAATAACTATGTGTGACTTTGCGGGGGGGCTCTGATGGCGCAGCGCCGATTGTGCTGCTACAGCAGTCTTTTACAGGATCCAGTCTGCACAGCGGCAAGTGGCCTGCGCCCAGCAGCCCCGCGAGAAGCTTAATTACAGATCTGGCACTACTAGCCAGGGCGGCCGCATAAGACGGGCCGACTGCGCACCGTCGGAGTGCGCGCGAACGCGCAAGCGTTCGGGTGCTCGTCTTCCAGCGCGCAGACGCAGCTGCGTGGCGGAATCGCCATGACACAGGCAAGCGGGGTGGTCTGTCGGGCACACCTGTGTGCAAAAAAGCACAGGCATACGCGCACGCCTTACATCGACAATGGAGGGGCGGTTCGATGGCGACTGCGCGAGCTCAGCCGCTGCGGCTTCCCCCGTGTGAGTTGTAAACAGGGTGGTATGTGCTTGATTCGAAGCCCCCCCCCCCCCCCGAAGGAACGAGTCTCATTTCCGTGGCGCTTGCTGCATGCAAGGGCCTGCCACCTCGCGGTTGGGCACCAGGCGCGCCGTTCGTGCAAAGCGCACGGGGCCTTGCCCACCGGTGCCGCGTGCTTCGGGCCAGCTCTGAGCAGCGCCCCCCCCCCCCGAGGTCTCCATCCCACCGCAGTCGGGATGATTATGTTACCCTTCCACAGCCCCAACGGTTCAAGCTCGCGTTCTCTATCCCAAAGTTGTGGTTGCTCGGCCGATGGAACGGCAAGCGGGTGGCCTGGAGGATGCATTCCTGCGACTGTCCCCGCAAACCTGTCGAAGGATCTTGGTGCGCGGCCGCACAGAACTCGATAATCAGCAGGTTTGATCGCCTCTATAATCACATCATGTTCTCCGTGCGATCCGCCCCCATGCATATCACTCGTCGTCCCCCAGCACATGCATCCCCTCCCTGGCGCGCGGCACCGTCCTGCGCGTGCGCTCCGCGAGGACATCTCGGTGAACCTGATCATCCGGTCCGTGGCGCCGCTGACCACGCTGATCGTGCAGGTCGCCTTCACCCGCTGCCTGGGCTCCAAGTCGCTCGAGCCGGTTGAGATCGGGCTCTCCAGGGGTAGTCAGCCGCAGATGGCATCACCTCCCTCCCTGCTCTCCGATCTGCGCGGCAGCATCTGCGGAGCCTGCACGTGCAAGCATTCACGGGGACGCAGCCAACCGATTTGCACCAAGTGGCAATATCAAGGAGCTCGTCCAAGACGACGGCATTTGAAAGGGCGCGTTGTCCTGTCTGCGAGCTACATGAGGAGCTTGTGTCTTGCGCCTTCCAGGCAAGCTATATGTGAGGCGGCACTGAAGGAATGTGAAATTGCAGGCGGACGACGTGACTCCACTGGACCTCCTGCGAGTCCACGAAAGTGGCAACGGTTGCGCGTGCGGCAGCACCCACGGAGGGCGAGGTCTCGTTTGGATCCCTGTGGGAGGTGACCCCAGAGTGACCACGCAGTCTCGAGCAGATGGCGACAGGCGTGTTGGCAGCGCCCAGGGGAGGACGTGTTCTTCGCCTGGGTCGCGCGGGACGCGGATCCGCGTGAGACGGCGCTCCGCTGGGCCCCCCCCCCTCCCCCCCCGCGGGCGGACAGAAGCGGCGACACCTTGGGCGCCTGGCCACGCCCAAGGGAGCGCCAGAGGCGGAGGCGGCGGCGACGACCACGAGGACGATGCGGAGACCGACGACGACGACGACGACGACGACGACGACGACGGCGGCGGCGGCGACGACGACGACGGCGGCGACGACGACGACGACGACGACGACGACGACGACGACGGCAGCGGCGACGACGACGACGACGACGGCGACGGCGACGACGACGGCGGCGACGACGGCGACGACGACGGCGGCGACGACGACGACGCGCCAGGGGGGGGCCGGCCCCGTGGGCGGCTTGCCAGGCCTGCCAACTCGGGGAAGACGAAAGACACCCGCACCGCGTGGCGGCGAGGGCCCTCCCAGTGGGGCCTCCTCGGGGCACCCAGAGATCCTTCGCTCCGGGGAAGAGAATTAGGACGAGGAGGACGAGGAGGACGAGGAGGAGGAGGAGGAGGAGGAGGACGAGGACGAGGGGGAGGAGGAGGAGGAGGAGGGAGGAGGAGGAGGAGGAGGAGGAGGAGGAGGAGGAGGAGGAGGAGGAGGAGGAGGAGGAGGACAAAAGTTAGGGCGGCGGGTTGGGGGCCGTTTTCGGCCTCCAGGTGCCCTCGCCGGGCCTCGGGGCCGTCAAAAAAGTGATGACCCAGGGCGAACAGCCGGCCCAGGGAGACCCCTCCAACGACCCGCGGAACCCCCTCTCCAGGTCCAGGGGGAGGGGGTAGGGGGAGGGGTAAACCCCTCCCCGAAGGGGAAGAAGGGGGGTTGAGGACAGAGCGGGCTCTCTAAACCACTCACGCCCAAAGGGCTGGTGGGATTAATGACCCAGGGCGAACAGCCGGCCCAGGGAGAGCAGTCCAGACCTCCAGGGCCCACGCATCGAAAAAAGTCGGAGCAGCCGGATGCCTGCGGGAGGCTCCCTCTGTGTGGCAGGTGGGGGACCTGAGACCCTGGCGTTGCAATTTCTTCACACCCGGCGTTTTCGCCCAGTTTCGGGCACCGAGACCCTCATCGATCCGGCTCGAAAAATGACGCCTAAAGATGGGGTCTTGGGTTCCCACGAGCGAGCAGCAGAGTGGTGACCCAGTGCGCGCCCGGCCGCGCTCGGGGGAGTGCGAGATCGGGTGCGGAGTTGGCACCCAGACCCTCGAGCTGCGGACAAATCGCGACGGGAGGTTTTTCGCTATGTTCGGCTTCCGGCAGCCCTTCCCGGGCCTCGGGGCCGTCAACCAAATGACTCGGAACGCCGGTCCCGGGGTTGGAGTCCAGACCTCCGGGGGTCGACGTTGTGAAAAAATCACGACCTCGGGGATCTGGGGTGGTTGCGCGTTCGGCAGCGTCCAGGGGGTGGAGGTTTCGTTTAGAGATCCACAGCGCGTCACTCTCGAGGAAGCACTAGCGGCGGGCCCGTTCTTGAAACAAAGTCGGCGCGCTGCGTCGCCAGATCAGGCGGCACTGGCGCCACGTTTCGGAGGTGCACGTCATCCGACCCGTGGATCCTGTGCCCGGCATTCCGCTGGAACCCCCAGGAGCCTCACGAGGGTGGTCACGGCTGCGCGGGGGCCCGGGCCGGCCCGAACCTCTGGGCTGTTGCCCCCCACCACCCACCTTCTCTCAGGGGCTCGACGACTTTTCTCGAGTCGACCAGCGGGGATCCGGCCGGATGAATCGAGGCAACTCCAGACCCAGACATCCGGCTGCTCCAGCTTTTTCGATGAGTGGGCCCCCGAGGTCTGGACCTTTTCCTCAGGGCCGGTTTTTCGTCCTGAGTCGTTTTCTGATAGCCCCGGGCGTCCAAAACCCGCCGCTCCGATTTGAGTCGGAGCGTCGGATCTGGACAAACCGAGGCAACGTCAGGGCACATCGGGCCGCACATCGGGGTACAGTAGGGGCCCAACGTCAAGAAACACCCTGCTTGCCTCCAGGGTGCCCTGGGTCTCTTGGGTTTCGAGGGTTTTGCGGTGGAAAGCGCGACGCTCCCACGCCAAAAATCAGTGGACGTCCTGGTGTCTCAGGGTTGGGTTCCTTGTGGAAGGTTTCTTTAGGGGAACGAAGAATTACATAAACATTAAAAAAAACTCGGAGGTCCGAGCGGATCCGAGAAATCCGCGCGGACCTCCGAGTTTTGATGTTTCTGTCACTCTTCGTTCCCCTATTCTCGTGGTCGAGCTCCTGGGGTACGTCCAGAGCCCTGCCGGGGAAGTCCGGCGCAGGCCGTGGCCGCCGCCCGCGCGCGGCGAGGCGCAGGTCGAGGCCGCACCCAGCCGAGCAGCCTCCCAGAGGCACCCTGGCACGGCAGCTTCGCGTCGTGTCGACCAGCGGCGACGCCGCCGCCAGCGTTCCACGCTGAACGCCGCCCCTCCCTGAGATCCTGGCGGTGCAACTCTTGCGCACGGGGCGTCTTCGCGCCCAGTTTCGGGCCCCGGGACCCTCACGGATCGGTCCGGCTCGAAGGTGCTGCAGGAAGATGGGGTCCCGGGTTCCGGTGCTGGTCTTTCGCGATGCTGCAATGTACTCGCAGCGTCGGATCTCAGGGGTGGCCCAGGATCTGTCGATGTTGAGCGCTCTGGCGTTTCGAGCGCGGCCGATCGTTCAAAGTCGAGCGATCCCCGCAGCGTCAGAAGCCAACGCCAAAGTCGGCACGACACGAACCTGCCGCGACTCGTTGGCCGATTCCTGGTCTGGCCGAGGGGCGCGGGCTGGACCCCCCCCTCCCCACGGAGCAGATCTTGGCTGTCTTGTTGGCGCCTGCTTCGAGCAGGGCGGAGATCTTGGCTGTCTTGTTGGCGCCTGCTTCGAGCAGGGCGGAGATCTTGGCTGTCTTGTTGGCGCCTGCTTCGAGCAGGCGGGGCTGGGGCGCACGGTGCCAGGCAGCCGCACCGAGCAGGGGTCCGGAGCCAGACCCCCCCCCCCTTCGGCCTTGTGCCGAGACGCCGAATCAGGAAGCGTTCGCCTGGCGACGCCGAAAACGCGGGGTCGCCTTCGCCGACAGTGGCGCGCAAGCTGCTCGCGTGAGGTCGCGCGCCAGCGCCCTGGCTTCGCTTCCAGCGTAGCGTGCCGCGCTGGCGGCCCGCGGAAGTCACCGCGAAAGAAGGCCGCTATGCCATCTAGCGTAAGACCCGTTTCCGATCGTCGCGGCCCCTGCTGCCTTCGGCCACGCGCCAAGGGGGGTAGAGGGGGGGAGAAAGGCTTATTGGACAGAGGCTAGGAGGAGGAGGAGGAGGAGGAGGAGGAGGAGGAGGAGGAGGAAGCAGCCTCCTTCTGAGAAGCCCTCCCCCCCCCTTCCTACCCCCTGCCCCCCTCTGCGCGCCAGACGCTTCAGGACGTTCGAGCAAGCCGAGGCCCCTTACCGGGCGACTCGACCGCTCCGGAGAAGCCGCGCTCGAGACCCCGACGGGGCGACTCGAGCGCCGCTCCCCCGAGCATGCGCTGCCTGCTCCTGCGGCCGGCGCCCCCCGAGACGCGGAGGCCCCGGAGAGCACGTCGGGGGGCCTCCCCTGCACGTCGGGGGGGGGGGGGCGATGCTGCTCGCCACCCCTGGGCGGCCTCCTCGGCGCAGGGCGAAGCGAAGGATGCACGTGCACCGATCTTGGCCAGGCCCATCCTGTGCCTGGGATCGGTGCGCAGGCTCTCCTGGCCAAGGCAGGAGGGCGTGTGCACCGATCCTGGGCTCAGGATCGGCCTGGCCAGAATCGGTGCATGTGCATCCTTCTCTTTGATCTA